TGCTTTTGTCATGAGATTAGGTTGTGTAAAGACCTCTATAGGTGACACCCATACAGGTGTTTTGTGATAAATTTGTTGTATAATCTTTCTCTACATTCCCAATAAAGTTCTTCTTATCATATGTAAATTAAAATGCTTTTGCTCTTTATCCTTTTTATACCATAGATAAGCATGCCAGCCTAATTGTAAATCGTGTCCTTCCAAGTTAAGTAATCTATCATTTTCCAAAGTTATCCATTCTTTTATCCAATCTAAAATACAGGATCTATAATACAGAACCCAATCTGGAAGACCAAAGCCAGCCCTCTGTTTAGCATCTTGCATTGCCTTAATTTTAATTCTTGGTTTTTTTACCTTGCCATATAAATCTCATGATTATCTTATTAAGTTCTTGGAAAAAGGACTGTTTTAATATGATAGGAATTGTCTGAAATAAGAATAGGATGTTGGCAAGGCACTCATTTTAACCGTCGCAATCCTTCCCAACAACGATAATTGTAATTTATCCCATTTCTCCAAATTGTTCTGTATCTCCTTCATCAATTTCATGTAATTATCTTTAAATAGTGTACTCGTCTTCTTTGTAATTTGGATCCCTAAATATCGAATTCTCTTTTCCTCTTGGAAGTTCGTCTTTTCTATTAACTTCTGCCGTTCTTGTTCTCTTATGTTTTTAGTAAGTATTTTTGTTTTCTTTTGGTTTATTCTCATTCCTGCCATATCACCAAAGTTTTTTTAACATTGCCATCAGGTCTTCTATTGAATGCAGTTAAAGGGATTTCCTCAGCTGAGTTGTCTATAGCCCCCAGTATTTGCCAGGTTAGCAACAGCTTCTGGAGCAATCATGCCCAGAAGGTGTCCTTCCTGGCTGGATTTGAGTACAATATTCTTCTGTTACAGAAGTCAAAATGTGGGAAATCTTTTTGCTAATATAAAAGTATTACTGGAAAAATATCCAATAAAAGCATTACTGAAATCACAACTTTGTTTTTTATATTTGCTAATGAGTTTTTTTAATGAGTATTTGAAGATTCTCTCACATTCTCAGGCACATCTGTGTCTCATTCATAAATAGTTACAGATTATTCTCTCCAGTAGGATATTTTTTTTGTGATGGGAATTTATTTTTAGAAGCATTTCTATGAATAAATAGCAACACAGATAAGCTGCCCTAATCTGAAAATACTCAGTGTATGACACTTATACACCCATTCTTAATATATGTGCCGGGCTTCATTTTTAAAACTCTACTTGTCCACACGGGCTGTTTTGGAGCAGGCTAGACTTGGCTAAACAGGGTTTATAGTGATTGAGTCAAGTCCAGTATGCCATTCGGTGTGACACCTCAAACACCCCTATTTGGTCCTGTTCCTTCTCCTGTCAATTTGCCATATCATGCAGTGGCTTAATAAGAGAGCCAGGATATTGGCAAATTAATCACTTTCTCTGCTCCTCTGTGGAGGAGCGGAGAAAGTAAAAAATCTCTTAGGGCACCATAGATATGCTGCATCACTTATAAAAAAATATTTAAAAACCTTGAAAACTCCCTCCCAGAAGTGGAAATAGACAGGAGTGGGGAATGAAGGGCATTTTTTTAAAACAGAAAAGACTTGTTAAACAAATGCCAGAAGCCAAAGTGTATCTTTGGTCTCCCTAACCAGCACCTTAAAACTACAGTAGATCTTTTTACCTACCTTCAAAGAGAAAAGTCTCATTCCAGTGTGGGTTTAAGTTCTTCCTTTTCACTTTTGTCTCCAATTTATGTTTTTTATCTGGCAGGAGGTAAATTTTGACAAAAGGGTCACTTGTGCCACTGAAATCCTTAGCAGGCAGCTCCTGAGCTTTCAATATTTTGACAGTCAAGGTGGATTCTTGGAAATTGTAGCCAACACTAAACTGGATTCGGCCTAGGTTCTCTCGGCTGGAGCTATCATGTCCCTCATCATCCTCAGACCCAGGGGAGAGCTATGGAGCCAGTAGAAAACAGAAAGGAAGAGGGAGAAAGAGAGAGGGAATAAGATGTGATATTCTACTTTCTGTTGTAAGCCATTTTTAAGTACAAAAAGCCCAGAGACATTTCCTAACCTGCATCTAGATTAAAATTAGGTATTCAGTGACAACCCATTTTCAAAGTTTATTGTTTACAAATCCTTTATGTTCAGTTCCCATAAAAGAATGTTCTCCATTATGATTTGCCTCATGCTATCTTCCTTCTAGCAGCTAATAGCTCCAATGTAGGGTGGCACCTGTTCCATTTCCAAAAAGGAGGAAAAACATCATCAAAAAGAACACGGAGAAGAAGCACCAACAAGGAGGAAATTCTTCACATTAGAAAATTCTTCACATTCAGCATTAAATTTGCGTATGCTAATTTAAACATAAAGGTAGATATTTTCACAATTAGACGTTATTACCCTATTTTAAATGGAAACATGTTACTGCTCAACATATTGCACAAGATGGCTACTACATAATCTCTATGGGACCAGCATGGAGCGAAAGATGGGACAGAAATCAATCAATCAATCAATCAAATAAAAAAAAGGCATAGTGTATAATAACTCTCTGTAATGCCCTGTGTCTTATCTTTTCTGCAGCTTATAGAAAATATATATAAATATATAAAGAAAGAAAATAAACAGAGACCAATGTACTTGAAATATTTAACTCGGTAGCAGTCAGTTGTTTCAGAGGAATGGTCTAAAATAATGCTTTCAGAATGTCCACTCTTGGGACTGACCTCACATCTGAAGTTCGTAGAGAATGGACATGCCATGCCATATCCTTCCTGCCATGCATCCATAGTTACATTAATGTGTGTGGTTTACATCTTTTCTTATAAAATGATCTCTCTTCAAAGTATTTTATTTAAAAAATAGAAGCTGATTAGATATATTTACTAATCAAAGCTTCTACTACACAAAATGATCTAACTCCATGAATTGATTAGTCCCAATCGCCTAATCTCAGTTTCTGAGCAGAAATTTTTTTAAGGAGTTTTTTTTCTCTCCCTCCTGCACCTCCTCCCCCAGCTCTGGAAAGCCCAGCCTGATATAGAGTTTTGCAAGACTCAAAAGCTTGCCTGTTTTTCAAAATTTTATTGGTCTAATAAAGGTATTGCCTGATAGCCAGTGTGGTGTAGTGCAGTGGTCCCCAATCTTGGGCCTCCAGATGTTCTTGGACTACACCTCCCAGAAGCCTTCACAACCACCTCTGCTGACCAGGATTTCTGGGAGTTGAATTCCAAGAACCTCTGGAGGCCCAAGGTTGGGGACCACTGGTGTAGTGCATACAGTGTCAGACACAGAATCAGGAGACTTGGGTTCAAATCCCTGCTTGGCCAAGGAAACTCACAGGGATGATAGGCTGACCATTAGCATATCACCCAGAAAGAGGACATGCACCACCAAAAATGGAGGAGAGTTCTTCAAATAGAGGACTGTCCTCCCTAAAAGAGAACATATGGCCACTCTCCTCTGATGGGGAAAGTCAATTCCTGGACCTCTTCTCTTCAGAAATCATAAGCCCCTTTTGAACACATTGCTGTCTTCAGGTGAGGAATGGCACTTGAAAAACCATTTATTCAATATAAGCAACTGCTGGAAAGGAAACAGTGTGGAGAAATCACTACAAGCCAGACATATTGTCAGCAGGTGGTCTATTTAATCACAGGCCTAACCAAGAGTGACCCCAGGGGCGCAAAAAGATGTATTCTACTGAGAACAGCATGACTTTCTTCCCTATTAGTGCAGTGGGTAGCCACCCATCTTAAAAACAATTACCTAAATGTTATCCGTCACTGCTCCAGCCTCCTTGTTAAACATGTCACCTTGAAGCTTCTGCACAGTTCATGACTTCACTATACAGTTTCAAATTATGGGTCAGGAAGCTTTACTCCCACCACTTTCCTGTCTATTTATGACAGGCTCTGAGCACACAGCCTCCCTATAGCAATGCCCCACGTGTTGGCAGTGTGGCTGCAAAATGATGCTTCTCTAAGTCTGTGTGTCATTCACTGCCCTTTATGAGACATAAACCACTTGTTGTGCTGCAGGCACCTTTTCTTGCTCTTACTTATATAGGGTGATTTCCCATTTCTTACACTACTGTTCAGAGGCACATAGATCTTCTGTCTTCTAGCAGTTCTTTCCCACTCAATCTAAGGTTCTAATTCTTCATCACATCCTCTCTGTATTATGCTAATGTTAATTAAGCTTTTATAAATATTCAACGTCTTCATTGCATTCAGATTCCCAGGGTCAGTGGCTACACTCAAGAATTATTCCCTCTTTGCACTTGCGCAGGGATCTGCAACTTCTTGTCTTAAAGAAAGTCTCTCTCTCTCTCTCTCTTTCTCTGGCCATAAAATAACTGTCTGCTAAATAAGCATTCTAGATAACTTACTGAACTTAGTGCAAAGTAAATTAAAAGTCAACGGAACCTTCAAAACAGTCAGAATAAACAAAGGTAAAATTTAAAACATGACGATGAACTGAACAGCCACAGCTCTGGTCTACATTCCTGCATTCAGTCCACACAGACATGTGTTGGGATCAAATATTTAACCCTGGTAGAAAGAGGCAGTGCAGTGCCCAGTGCAGTAGCAGAATTCCCTCTTTGTCTCTAAGACCCAGTAAAAGGCATATATGCTCAAAGCCATCTGGATAGAAATCTTGGGAGAGGAGGTTTCAAGAGATAACTTAAGTGTTTTCTTGCTAAAGTGACATTGCTCCTCTTTACAGATGTTCCTGATGTGGCATGGGCCAACAGAAGGTGGAAAGAGTTCATGTCCTTAGAGTTGTAGCCTTCGAAGCAATTCATCCTAGAATAGCTGCCAAGAATTACCACGGTTATCAGAGATAAACGGAGGGTTACACTTTGGCTAATTCTCAGGGCTCAATCACAGTGCTGATTTGTATCAGTTTCAGCTCTGATGTGGTTTAAATCTATTTATAGTCACATGGTTTTTGCATTGCTGTGCATGTTCACTTTGAAAATTATTACTCAAATATAAACAGGAGCTTAAAACTGCTTTGGGAAACTGCACATGAGGTTTTAGATCATTTCATTAACTGGCATGTTTGCAGACCATGTTTTCAATGTTGTGTAGTATTTCTTCAGTTTCCAGGCATCCTTTGAAATGCCTGTGTTTCTCTTCCTCTCCCTCCCTCTCTCAAATGAATTGTAAGCAGCATATCACTACACCGATGCAGTGCTAAAGTTAATATATATTAATAATATATATAGTCCTATATAAAGTTTATATAGATATTAAGTTTAGTAACCTCCAACAAAGGCATTATTTAATGCAACAGGGGCATTCACATTGTCCAAACTAATTCATAAAGAATTAATTTCAAAAACTTGTTAAATTAAAAAGCCCCTGCTGGCCTCTTCAAAACACCTTGGTTAGTGGTAAAAAAGAAGGGGGCTTCACTGTGTGTTGTGTAGCTGGGATTTTACAGTAGATTTTAATTACACAAAACCTTATTCAGCAGCAGTTCATATTTTCAGTGAAAATGTACCCTGAGTTAAGAAGGTTTACTTACAAGAAGCACATCTTGCTACAAGTAGGGACAAAGCAGCTGTTTTCTGAATGCCAGCATTAGCATTTGCTGCTAATATAGAATTCAGCTTTAGATTCTGTTCATTGGCCACATACTGTATGAACAATGGAACATGGAGCAGCTTTTAACAAGTGATAGGACAGTCTTCATTATCTCCACCTTTACAACCATTCAAGACAGGCAACTATATTTGCTGAATATGAGCAAAGAGCACATTCATGGAAGACAATACTGAACTTAAATCTCAATCCAATCCACATCTACTTAAGGACCATATCTCCCCATATAATCCTCTTCATTTTATGAGATCTTCATAGCAGGGCCTTCTCTCTGTCCTGATGCTAACACAGGCAGTTTTGGGGAGGATTCAAGAGAGGACATTTTCAGTGGCTGCTCCCAGTCTGTAGAATTCCCTGGCACATGAAGCTAGGTTGGCCCTTTTCTTATTGTCCTTCCAACCACGAAAATAACCCCCAATTCTAGCCTCATATTCTATTCATGATGAATGCAGATTCTGAGCCCAGTGTCATATTCTGTGTGTCAGGGATGGGGGTGGTGGTCCTCTAGATGTTACTGAATTGCAGCTCCCATAATCCTGTATCCCTGGATATACAGTACTGGATAGGCCAATGGTAGTGGGAAACGTAGTCCAGTGGCATCTGGAGGTCCATACATTCTCCACTCCTGCTTTACAGAACTGTCCTATCACTTGTTAAAAGCAGCTCCGTGTTCCATTATTCCTACAGTATGTGACCAATGATCAGAATGCCAGAAGCAGTAATTTATATTAGCTTCCCTATTTTAAAATGGACATGAGTCCCTTTGGGAGCCAATATTTATCAGAAAGCAGGATTAAAATAAAGTTCATGTAGGCTTAGACTTCCCTTGGAGCTAAGGCTCAGTGATACTTCAGCGCAGGAGAATCCAAAGGTTTGTGATAAGAGACTGGGACAGGAAGAGGTTGTGATTCTCTCACGCTTGGTATGTGCTTATTTTAATTAAGGGCATGTTGAAAGTTATGGCATCTGAGGGAGATAGAAATCCACAGTACACAAGAAAACTAAATGTCTGTGTTGACTCTCACAATAAGGTCAACAGTTTCCAATTGTGAATCGCATCCCCTTTTGGGAGCTTGCCCTGAAATCTTTTCATGCCTCTGCAAGACTTTAAGAAACCCATTTACTGCTTTTGCTTTTTGAATGGTTACATACTGTTCAAAGACAAGCAAAAACATGGAAGTAAAACATAGGGAGAACAAGCAGGCAGCAGATCCGCAAGGCTGTTGGGTGAGATAAGGGGAAGGGTAAAATCTTGGTGTGACCGTGGCCCTCAGTGGCAGAGTAACAGTAGCCACTTCTTCATTCAAAGGTGCCAGAGAGACTAAAGTTGTCCCCAGCC